GGATTTTTTTTCTTTTAACACTGTCACTGAGTTAGATGTCACAAATACAAGGCCTGGTTCTATCTATAGGCCCAAAGCTATTGGACACTGTGTAGCCAGTGTCTCTAGAACTTTTTTACATTGACAGGATTTTATCTGTAAATACCTTTTGAAGTCTTATACATGACAGTGATGGGAAGGAAAGTCAGGGTTGGAGAATGACAAAGAGACTGATGCCAATGTCCAGCAACAGGCTGGGTTTTCCCTTTAGTCATGATTACTCAGGGATCCTCAGTGGAGATGACAGGTAGAGACAACTTCTGTCCAGAGGGAGGAAGGCAGACCCAGGGCACTTCAGTCCTACTGGACCACCTGGGAAGCTGAGTCTGAGCTCTGGGACTGCCACCTCAGAGTTCAGTCTCACTTCTGGTGGCTGCCTCAGCAGTCAGGGCATGGCTTGTAGGCCTCTTGAGGCAGTCCCTCTTACGATGGCCTGGTTTTTTAAAGCAGAAGCAGATGAACCTCATAACTTTATTTTCATTGAGCTCTTCTTGGAGCCCAGAGAATCAGACTTAAGATTTATTTTGAGGCTGCAACAAAAGCAGCCATTTTTATATCTTTGCTTTCTCTCCCTGTTTTTTTTTTTCCCAGTTCCAATTATAGCACACAAAGAAACAGTTTTTACTAAAGTATCAAGTGAGTTGTCTGGAGCAAAAGCTACCTTTTCTACCTATTTTCTAATATCTGGAGTTCACTGAGACATGAACTTATCTGTGTACTAGGTGGCAGGCAGAACAGGTGGGTTCTGAGGGTAATGGTTGAGTTTCATAGGCTGCTTCTTATCAGTTGGAGCCGCCAGTGCAACCAAGTAGGACTGGTCAGTCAACTGTGAATGGAGTTCAGAATGGCAGGTTTTTAGCCATTTTGGAGGGTCATGGACAAGATCAATCCAAGCCTGAATGTAAGGGATCTGGTCAGGGTGTCCCAGATTTCTGAAAATGACTTTCTGGACCTGATAAGCAAGAGTAAAATTAAAGAAGCCTTCTAGAGGCCAAGCAGCCTTCGGAAAGGACAGCCATTCTGATTACAGCAGATCTGGAGTTTTCTGGGGTACATGGAATCCCCATATCCTAAGGTTTATTGTCTGAAATCCTAAAAATGATTTAAAATACATTGTAGGGATGACAAAGATACAGAAGTAGAAGCAGACTGACCCATAGTGATAAGGACAAAGACAAACACAAAACACAAAGCAAATACAAGATACCAGAGACCACCAGCCACCATTATGGTCTGGAATAGAGTCTTGGGGATAATGTTACATCCAACTCCTCAAAAGATTTCTAATGCATGCCCAAACAGAACCAGAGCAGTCTTACTGGTAAGAATCTTGATAGCTCTTTTCTGAATAGTATTGGAATTTGGATTTTTGAGGCCAATAAAATCTCCTCAGGGCTAAGGCATGGCTCTCAGTTAGTCCCCTGAAGAGTATAGACACTCAGAAAAAGTCTTGGCTCTTTCATCCAAGAATAAATGGGATCCCAGATGAGCCCGCAAAAGTACCAGGTTTGAACTGAATGGAGACTGAGACCAGAACAGATTAGAATTTAGTAAGCCTTTATTAGCCAATTCACGCAGGGCGGCATCAACCAGCCACAAAACAGATGTAAGCTCAGTCTTTTATAGCAAGCCTTGTTGACACAGCTGCAAGCTCTTTGTGACTAGGAGGTTTCCACAGTTTTTAGTGATACTCAGAACTTGCCCCAAAAGGGGCGTATTATAAGATAAGATTAGGGTAGAAACACATCAGCTGTGCACAACACTAGCCAGCTGAAGGATTTGCCCTTGAGCCAGGAAGCCGCACTCAAAGAGTTAGAGGTCCCTTCCAGCTTTGCCCAATAGAAAAAATAACAAGAGCTGCATTGATTTTCAGAGGAGACAATAGCAGTAAAGACACAGGGTTCCTCCTAGTAATCTCCCACAATTATAACCCATTGCACTTCGCACTACTGAAACATGACAGCTTTGGAATTGTCCTGGCCTCCCTTGGGAATGTCTGATGATGCAATCCACCTACATCCTCCTTCCTTTACCTCTCCTAGGTGCCCAGAAGTAATGGTGCATTGTCTGCAGTGTTTTTCCAGCCTGCTGGTGGAGGGCAGTTCCCATCTGCCTTGCGCTGTCTGGGAACTCACTGTTGCAGGAAACTCCTATTTCTAACTAGACCACAGAGAGAGAGAGAGAGAGAGAGAGAGAGAGAGAGAGAGAGAGAGAGAGATTTCTTGTCAAAGTGATCTATAAAGTAAAAACTGTGCAAGTGTTTTTTTAAAAAAAATACTCTCACAATAACTAGAGCAGTGGGAGAAGCCGCTCAATTTCAGAAGGACTTGACATGATTGGTAACTCCCTTTGCACAACTGTATTCTTCCAGCTATCTTTATGCAATGTACTCTTGCTCTCCTTTAGGACCACATTTTCCAAATTCCCTTTGCTCCTCGTTGGCTTCTCCCAGGTTCCCCTTTAGTCTCTGGCTATGCATACCCCATTTGGCAAGCTCTCCTATGCCCAAATCTTCAGCCATCGCCTCTTCACTCCAGCTTCAGTTCCACCATTGTCCCTTTAACTGCCCAGACTCTCAATAACTAAACTCCAGCAGGGTGATCTATAAGCACTAAGCATTTAACTTGCCCAGAATTGAATTCATCTACTTATCTCCTGTGCAAACTAGCTTCTTTCCATGACTTAAGGTGGTTAAAAAGAATTAGTGTTGGGATGGCAAGATAACTCAGCAGACTAAGTGCCTGCTCTTCGGCAAGCACTGGGACTGGGGTTCTATTCCCAATACCACACACTGCTCTGGCCCTGCCCCCAGGTGGGCTGAACTGGTGACTGAGTCTAGGCATAGTGTCGCACACCTGCAATCCCAGCACTGGGGAGGATGAAAACAGGAGGATTACCACTAATCCAAGCTGTGTAGTGAGCCCCTGTACAAAAAAAATAGTGTCATCCTTAATGACTTCTCTATGTCAAGGACACCCTCTACACACAAACACACACCCATGCACTCATGCACACACAAACACTCATTAAAATTGCCTTCACATCTCTCCAGCTCCCAACACACAGGGTTCCTGCCTATGATTCCCCTTTTCAGCTCTTGCCCCAAGTATTTCAGTCTTCTTCAGGACAGTTTTCCTCTTCACTGCATCCTCCACTTCTCACCATTACAAACCACTTTCAGAATCACTGAACTGTTCACATTTTCCCTAATCAATCATTTTAAATACTTACTTGTGGCCTATGGGAGAAAGCTCCCCTAGCACAGCCTCTATGGGTTCCTTCCTCTTTGGCCTCACAGCCTCACCACCTGGGGAACTGAAACCCAACAAGCAACTTGCCCATTCAATTTTTAGATACTTTGATTATTCTCCACTCACCTCTACATAAAAACTCACTCCTCTGCAGCCTGCAAATCCTAATCCCATGACACCTCTTTGTGACATTTCCCTTGCTTCCATTTCCTATTTGCCAAATGATGGATATTCATAACTCTTTGTGGCTCTCACACCAAACTGCATAAAGCATAGTATAAATCTATAAAATGTTCACCAATTGTATGTCCATATTTCCCTCCAAAGCATAATCTTCTACAAGATGAAAAAGATATGTCTTTGACCCAGGTACCCAATGCTTGTCCTTGTGCTCAAGAAAAAAAGATTATTGCAAATACAAGAAATGCATCACTCATCAAAGAGATTAGAATAGCATAGTGACACAGCATGGTGGACTTCAAACCCTAGCTTTAACACTATCAACTGAATGACCCCTGTGAAGAGATTTTTTTCTGTAAGCCTTAAATCTTTATCTGGAGAAAAAAATCAGAAGAACTCTTAGGTTTGTTCTGAGGCATTGATTTTAGCAGTTATATATAAAGTTCTCAGCATCATGTCTAGCATACAAAGTTCAAAACATCGTATTGCTATGGCTAATAATAAATAACAAAGTTTAAGCAAGAGCATGTAAGAGACAGTGAAGAAGTCAGATTCAACCTCATTCACTAAACACAGGTTTATAGAGTACTATGCAATATTAAAAATGGGTAGCTAAATCTCAATTTGTAGAAGTTACAAAATCTCCAACCACTTCTAACAAGGCATAACTTAATGCCTGGAGCAGTTTGTTGCATGAAGTAAAGGTAGGAAGATCGTAGACACCAATGAAGGGCAGGAATGGCTGGACACAGAATTGAAAACAAGGGATGAATCCTGAGAGGGAATCAATAAGCTTGGTGATAAATTGGTTGATAATGAAAAAAAGCAGTCAAAGATACTCCCAGAGATACGTTTCAGATCACTGAGTTGCTATAAGCATTCTGAAACCCACCAATGTTGTCCAGTTGACATAGACTTCCACAGGACAGAGTTTAGGTGCAACTCAAAGCTCAGGGTATAAGCCAAAACGTGATATTGAAGCCTTGGATGAGAATAACTTCTTGCCCATGTCTCAGACTGCACCCTTCTCATAGCTCAGATGACTTCCACACAAACCATAATAATCACCAACCAAACTGAGAAACTTGGAAATAATGCCAAACCCAGTTCTTGGCACCACAGTAGAAGAAGGAAAGTTTCACAGAATCCACATTAGACAGTAAAGGGTATGTGCGCCCCATACACAGCTAGCATATGGAGCTAAACCCCATGATGTGTTTCCATGCCAACAGTTGCCCAGTGACAAAAACAAATGATAAAGGAAGAGGGAAATGAACAAGAACAAAAGGCCCAGCTAAGTATTTCAGGTTCCTCACAGAGTTTCTCAATAGAGTATTGTGGAGATGAGTGTGATTTTCTAAGGTAGTATGTATCATCTACTAATAGCCTTTATCTCAAAGAAGTAGAATTTTAGAAAAATTGCTGGACACAAGGGGTAGGGATGCGAGGACACACGTGTGAATGTGGTAGTCCAGCAAGCAGAGATTGGCTAACCTGTGCCGCATGACTCCTGTTCTGTGTTTCCTACAGAGTGATTCCAATGACCATCCAGTTCTCTGTTCTGATCATGCTGCACTCCGCTCTGGTTCTCATCACCACAGCAGAGGATTATAAGTGTTTGCCGCTCATCCTCCGGAAAACTTGCTGTTGGATTAACGAGACCTATTTGGCCCGGAATGTCATCATCTTTGCATCTATCTTGATTAATTTCCTGGGTTCTGTCCTAAATATCGTAAGCATCCCAAGCCCTACAACCCTCTGGTTCCTAGGGGAGCACCAGGAATTCAGAGTTTGTGGAGCCTACAGCTTTTTGCCCTGTCTTCCTCGGTACCAGTTATGTCTATGTGCCAGCCCCAGCCCAACTTAAGGGCAAGAACAAAAATATGAGTAATGTCTGAATTTTTTGTTGGAAAACTGTCTTTTCCCCAGGAGAGTTAGTTGTTCCAAAGGAGCTCCAACTCTGCCCCCATTTAAATATTGCTGGTGACCAATCACTTATAACCATAAGGAATAATTACCATCTGTTTATTATTAGTCCCTACCAGCTACATGCCATGCACTAAAGAAGGAACTCACACATTTTTGTATTTAATCCTCACATAAGCCCTGTGAGGTAAGTCTCACTATCCCCACTTTATGGCTGAGGAAACTGAGGCTCAGAGACATGAAATAACTTGCTAATAAGCTCTGTCTGACTCCATGACCCACACTCATCCTAATGCTAAATTGTGTCACTGGGAGTGGGAGTGGGGTGGGGGAAATGAAACTTAAATAGCGGCCATGTATTGAGCACCTACTATGTGTACCAGGTAGGTTTATTGTCCCCATTTGATGGATGAAGAAACAGCATTTCAGGAAGATTGGGTATCTTGCCTATGGCTTTCTGGGAGTTTATATTTGATGTGACATAGAGATGAAGTTCCAACTGCCGTAATACTATTTGCTCTCTAATTTGGTAGTCCACATTTTCATGATGTCATTTTCTCTCTAGAATCATACTATGGTAGCAACAGTTATTTTCTGCATATATACAAATAATTTGTGTTGTCTGTGGATCAGTCAGCTAGAATTTAGAGGTGACTTCAGATCTTAAACTTGGTGTGCTGGCACTGGTTAGTTAAGGCATCATCTTATGGCTGAAACCATCAGTGTGCCCTCCGGGTGATGAGGGGATATCCCTGAGTGTCCAGTGACCCAAGCTGTAGATGACCACTGTTGTTTCACTATGACTTGGAAGCTTAGGCTGCCTTAATTTCACTGCCTAAGTTGGCACAGTCAATATTTTACTCAAGCTCTTGTGATTGTCCTTATAGAGGAAGGACTTAGTGGTATAAAAAAAAAAAAGAAAGAAAGAAATTTGTCACTAGAAACTTGTCACCTGAGGAATATTCTATAGATTTTATGGCAATTGAAATGGAAATGAGTAGGATTCACTGATGACAGTAGGATCCACTGATCACAGGCTCTGGAGTGGTAGCCATGGTCTCAAGTTTGGATGTCAAAGTGGGTATTTCTGGGATGCCGGTTTTGGAAAGATGGCTCTGGGTCGGGCTTACTATGGCACAGTTATGTGTAGGGAGATCAGAGATTTTGGAGTCAGATAGACCTGCATTTAAATGTCAGCTCCAACAGGAACTGGCCCTGTGAGCCTGGACAAGTTACTTTACTTCTCAGTGTTTCATATTTTTCAGTTGTAAAATGGGGATAAAAATAGTAGCTACGTCACAAGGTCGTTGTGAGGCTTTTTTGTACAGCGTCTGGCACGGAAGAGGCATTCAGCCCATGGTAGTTGTTTGTTTCTAAGTGCCAAAAAGATCTCCACCAGCAACATTGTCATAGGAAATGTGCATCACTTCAACCCTGAGTCTTCTGGAAGCTGTGCCCCTTCAGATCCTTCAAATCCTCCCAGCTGTTGACCTAGAGTCAGGCTGTGAACTTACCCCAGGCCTCTTCTCCTCCATCCAGCTCTCTTCTGAGCCCCACAAGCTCCAGTGTGACACAGCAGCTTTAATCTGGCTTCATGATTGGCTTGCAGAACCCTTTCTCTGAGCCAGCAGTTGTGTTTTAAATAAAAGAGGCAATCAAAGCTGGCGCCTCCGTTGTTATGAAGTCAAGCCCCTGTAGGGCCCACCCGCTCCAGGCTCCTCTGAGGCAGAGCTCATAGTGCATGGCTCCATTTCCCACCCTCACACTGACTTTGTTGTTCCTGTGTCTTTTTTGTTTTTTGTTGTTGTTCTTTCTTTTTTTAATCCGCAGCTGTGGTGTGATTTTGACAAGTCGATACCCTTGAAGAACCTGACTTTCAATTCCTCAGCTGTGTTTACAGATATCTGCTCCTACCCAGAGGTATTTATTTACAAGCTCCCCTTGGTGAGAGTTGGCCATAGATATCTCCACCAGCTCCATGTGAACAGGACTGGCTAAAGGGTTTTAGAAAGCAATGTAGGGGCCCATTTTCTTTCTTCTGCCTCCGCTCTTCCTTCTTTTCTTCTTTTTCCTCTTTTCTGTCTTTCCCTCTCCCCACCCTCCTCCTCTGCCTCTGTCCCATCTCCACCCTTTCGCCATTTCTCTCTGCCTTATTCCTTCTCCACCCTTTCGCCATTTCTCTCTGCCTTATTCCTTCTCCTTGTTTTCTTCTTTCTTCACTTTTTCTTCTATCCATTTTTCACTTTCCTTTGTCTCTTCTTGTTCTGTTCATTTGCCCTTTGATCGTCTATAAAATCCTGCAACAGCATGTGTCATGGCATCAGCTATCAGGCAAAGCCACTGTGCAGACAGGATTTGCTGTGTTGAAAAATGAGGGAAGGAAAGAAGAAAGGAAGGAAGGAAGGAAGGAAGGAAGGAAGGAAGGAAGGAAGGAAGGAAGGAAGGGAGAAGAGAAGGAGAGAGGAAATGAAAAGAGAGGAAAGGAAAGGAAGGAAAGGAAAGACACGGGCAGAAAACCACAAATAACATTAGATCAAAGTGATGAAGAGGGGCTGGGGAAATGGCTCAGTGGAATAAATGCTTCCCTGGCAAGCACAAGGACCTGAGTTCAACCCCCGGTTCCAAAAAAAAAAAAAAAAAGTGATGGAGAGAGTGCCCGGAGCATCATCAGATCAAGAGTCATCCAACAGAACACCCATCATCACAACGTCTGTTGGATCCTTGCTCAGCTACAAAGGCACTGATCTACCTCTGGGCATTGGAGTCAGTCTAAGGGCTCTATGAGCCATGACCCAGACTTTCATATGTTGGAGTAGAAGTTCTGGATCTGGAAGAACAGGAACTTGCAGCAGACCTGATCTAACCACATACCCTGAGGACTCTAGACAGATGTGTTCTCTCAGAGACTGCCCCACTCAGAGTCCCCTTAGATGCTTGAGAGGAGAAAGGGCTCTCTAGTCTCTGCTAGGTCTGAGGATGAGCCTGAGAAGCACTCTGATAGGGAGAGCCAGCCTCTCCACCTTCACCCATATCTACAAGCAGCTGCTTGAAATGCAGACCATCATTCAGTACTCCAGGTGTATGGGGAAGACTCTCCAAGTCACCAGTGATGGCACTGCAGCTTAGAAAATAATTTGCTGAGGGACCAGTAGACCTCCTGCTTGGCTTGCATTCATCCTCACTTCTTTCCATTCCTCTTTCTGTCTTTCTTTTCTTCTCTTTTTATTTCAGTTATCATGATCTGGTACTGTAATTCAAAGTTTATCTGATTCCTTTTGTCAAATGGTAGAGGAGGAACTAGGCTCTTCCTAGGGAAGTGCATGACAGGACAGGGGAAACTATGTGTGCTGGAACGTCTTCTCCAGTGGACTAGGTGAGCAGCCAGCTCTTAGGAACTTCTTGGTTAGGAGGATGTAGAGTGACAGGGAATGGGCCAAGGCTTGGATAGCTTGAAACAGGCAAAGTTGGACTTCATTTCCAATGGATCCAGGTCTTACTGTCTCTGAAGTTAAGTTTCCTCATCCATAAAATGAGAAATGATTACTTCATTTAATTGGTTATTGTGAAACTAAGTAGATTATTCTGCTGGTGCCTGCTTAGATGAGTTGCAAATGCTTCATCCCTAACCAGACATCGGAAGCAGGTGTACATGGTCTATTTGGTCTGTGCCACATATTACCCTAAATCAACACTGCATACCCCTGGACCCACTCCTGAGCTTCCCTTCTCAGGAACATAGCACTCAGGGATTTTCCATCCTAGGAAAGTGGTGGGTAAGAATTTGACCAAACAGCTTGACTTGAATGCCTCAGTTTCCTTATCCATAAAGTAAGTATAAAGGTAGAATGTTCTAGAACCTTCCTCATTGAGTAGTTATGAAAATTCAGTGAATCAATTCATATAAATCATTTAGAATCACAACTGGCATAAAAAATCTATTGACTAAACCATGGTTAATAAATCATTGACCATGATGTATATTTTTAGAAGATTGATCTAAATATACTTCTTTTACACTTTTTAAAATAATTTTATTATTGAGAAACAAATAGCAATGAGACAGTTTCAAAACTGATTACTAGCACAGTTTCAATGATTAATACATTACATATTGTTGTCTTAGTGGTTATTCATTATACAAGATGCAGACATGATATCCTGTCCACAAACACTATTAGAACAAATCTCTCTATTCATTGAACTAAGAGAATACAGCTGTAAATCTATCCTAACTATTTTGAATATACAGATACAAAATGGTCGTTCATTTGTATCCCCCTTTTGTCTTTAGTTTTGTCAGAGAAGGGTATTCCATTGTCATTTAAATATTGTAGGTGTGTGAATTCAGCAAAATATTCCAGTATAGTCCAGTAGTGCATAATAGTAGTAGGTTTGCCCTAAGACTGGCAATGTCAGAAGTTGTTGACTTGAGCCTTTTACAGCTCAGCTTATTAATATGACTTTACTTTTTATACTTTGTTTTTGTACTTTTCTGCTGGATGGTTAAGACCAAGATAAAGCAAGACTACATAACAAGAAATGTGACTTTTGTATCTGATAAGGTCAGTCAAATCCCCTCAGGATTTATCCTGAAACCCTGTACTGCAGTTTGTAGATCCTTTGTCAGTGTCAGCCATGTGGATGAGTCACAGCCATTGCTTGACCAATGTGTTCTCTGTGAAAGCCTGAGCGAATATTTTCTTTCTATATGACTCTCCTTAGGCACACCCTACATCATGGATCATTTTCTTCTGTGGCTCCCTAATCTCCTTGATCAGAAAATTTGGGACACAACTGAGTTACATGATGTTACAGTACAGGTTCTCCTATGTCCTGAGTCTTCACTGACCTTGAAAGGCTAGGGCCAAAATGTTGGCTGTCCTTGCAGTCCTTCTTTTTCTCTAATTTTTGATCTATAAACTTAGGTTGTTAACCCTCCAGAAGAGAAGCCTATTATTACCCTACAACATAAGCAGTTGAGCTTAACCTCATTATCTGTCTGAATATCAAATATCTTAGGCATAACAACCATGATGTATTTTGTTTCCAGTAAAATGATTTTGATCATTGCTGGAATATATGTTATTGGTAAATGTATCTGTAACTATATGTTAGCATACATGAAACATGGAACATTCAAAAATAGAGAGAAAATTAAAGTGAGAAGAGAGAGAGAGAGACAGAGAGAGAGAGAGAGAGAGAATTTTATTCCACAATCAGAGTCTTCTTGCTTAGAAATCAGCAAACTATCAGACCAAATTACAGCAAATTACTATCACAGACCAAATTACCAGCTATGACCACCACATGATTTGACCCACATTTTCTACTCCAATGTACGTGACTGTGTTTCTTGTTTCGGACTGTTGGCCACAGTAGACAGAAATAAAAGTTCTGACCTCTGAAAGACTTGATCCCACTGCCAGTCACTCAGGAATGTGTGTCCCCAAGTCAGTCATTCTCTGAGCCTAGGTTTCCTTGTCTGTTTGCCTGATATCTCTACCTCATCCCAGGAGAAATTTGCACCCATTTCAAAAACATGCTATCAGACCGAGTGATGTGATATAAACTCTGAGAATTTTTGGTTCAAAGTATAATTCAGTAACAAATCAGAGACTTATTGGTTTCTTAAAAAGCGCAAAGTTTCAAGAAATGAGTGAAGAAATGTCATACCCCAGCTATGATTTGAGAAGCAGTGTCATCGAAGAAAAAAACAGTGGTTTGTAAAATAAATGCAAATTCCAGGCAAAAAACACAGAGTGTTATCTCTAACACCTGGATGTGGTTGTCAAGAGGCTTGCTGGGAAGACCCTCAGCATAGAAGCAACCCCCTTTAGGGCGGATTCTGGAACATCTGAGTAGACAGCTTGCTATGTCTGTAAGCAGCTGAATCTGGCTGTGGTTGTGAGGAAATCCCATTCTTCCATAGAGATATGATTATCTCTGACCCACACCTGAGCATCCCTTCTGTCCCTACTTATTTAGGTCCTACCCAAACTTCAAGCCTTTTGTATTGTGCATTTTGGCAGGCCCAACTCCTTCCTGCCACTTAGACACCCTTCCAGGGTCATTATAGTATATGCGCCCCATCCTGACTAGCTAGGACATTCTTCTCACTACATCCAATTTATAAATTGCTTTAAAGAAAGAAGATATTACAATATAGCTACTCATAATTACTCAAAAATCCTATACTAGACAGGGCCCGCAGTGCATTTAACAATGTTTAAAAAGAAAAAACAGCATCTTTCTATAGGAACAACTGGGTGAGAGCCACCTTCCCACCTCAAGCAAACTATAGCAAAATACACGAAGTCGTAGTTTGCAAGACACTGTACATCAGGCAAGTAAGGGTAGTGTCTCAGGTACTTTCCTCCTCGCTGACACACAAGACCTCTCAGCAGCGATGGTAAAACGTTTAGAGATCTGTTGCCCAAACTGCTACGCAAAGCCAACTTCTTTATCACGGAGGGCGAGCACTGCAGTTAAACCTCAGTACCTGATACTTGGCAGCTAGGGCAATGTTAGGAACATACTGACAGAGAAGGCTCTGAGCGCCCTCTCTAGCTCATGTGCGTAGGTTTGCCACCACTACCCTACGCTCACAACTTAACAGAGATTAAAGGTTTGTTTGGGCTCAGTTTCTAGAGGCTTCAGTCCACAGCCAGTTGGCTCTAAGGCAGGGTAGCACAGCAAGGGGACTATAACAGAGGACGTTTGCTTATGGCATGGTGGTCAAGAATCAGACAGTGACCGAGGAGGGAGGAAGGGAGGGAAACTCTTCCAGGCCACACCCCCTGTGACCCACCTCCTTGGACCACACACTTCATGCCAGGTGTCTCCCAATATGACATCTAGCTGTGAACTGACCAGTGGACTAATCACCTCTGAAAAGCTCCACCTTTGAGCACATGAAACTT